TAGCAGCCACGTATCGGGCACTTGGGGACAAGGTGTGCCTGTCCCCTTCCCAGAGGCGGGCCAGGCTAACCATCTTACGGGCAGCCATTTCAAAAATTCATCGCCTGCAAGACACCCTAAAGACGCCGGTAACAGTACACAAGGTAAGCCTCTTGCGGGCCGTACAATGACAATGTACCGTTTTATGTATAGCACCGTTACTGTCAAAGTGTTAAATACATGGTCGAAGTGAAATTAACCAACATTTATCAGACAGGGGGACCGCAAGCACTCGATGATCCTACACGGGTCGGGGGCCATGCTCCTTCGAAAAATTTGAAAATTGAACCTTCTAAATGGTATTCGTGCATTTTTGAGAGGAATAGAAAAGCGCAGACCACCTAAGACCAAGTACTGCAAATACTATACACCAGATTCACGGTGGGGGTTGGTGGCCGCATAGTACGGGCTGGCCAACAACAGGAGAAACCGCAGAAATGTACATGACAACATGGGCACGTAACAGGGGAAATGTCCGTCATTTGTTCGCCGAGGTAGAGTTTCAATACATCTTACGTGTAGTGAGGTTCTCTGTAATAAGGCTTCAATGTTTCCTTTTTTAACGCAAAGTTATTACACAGGGCTTAATAGAAGTTTATTGCAAATTCATGCCCGGGCGGCTAATTGCAGATTACAAACATAAAAGAACAATGAAACGTAGTATAAAATAACTAAAATCTACATGATGAAAGGTAGTTGTCTAGAGCTATAGCTATGTCTAAAACTATGTCTAAGGGGTTTGACTTCTCTTTTTTAGACTATGGAAGACGTAATGTTCCACCTTTTCTAAAATTAGTGGGTTTTGGGAAGTTAAAAGAAGAATAGTTTTTTCTTGGTCTGTAAGTTTAGTAAAGTTGGGATAAATTGTAGAAGTTTGAATAGTTAACTCATTTCGAGCGTTGCTATGAAAGGAACAATTTGAGATAAAGTGTATTTCGTCTTCCACAGCCTTTGCATTACAATATTTACAAATTCTTTCACATACAGGTAGCCTTCTATACCGGCCTCTCTCTATCTCCAAAGGATGGGCGCTAACTCTAATTTTGCTAATGGCTGAGCGCAGTTCGAAGTCTGCAAGATTAAGATATCGCTCTGTGTTGTACATAGTTTTACATTTTGCATAAAATCTTAACTTACCACTATCAGTTGACATAGTATGAAAAAATGTTTGTATATGCATATCTGTAAGTCTCCTTCTCAGCATTTTCACAACATGTTCAGGATCATAATGTGAGTTTTCGGTATGCCACAGAAAGGAGTATCCATTGTGATCTAATATGTCTTTAACACGTTGAAGTAAAGTTCGTCTACGGGTATTTGTCGGAAGGCTTTGTTGTAAGAGGATTGCATCCCTTTGAAGGGGGTGTGAAGTTGTATCTAATTGGATCAGGCGTAACCAGAATTTAACTACATATATACAAATATCTATATCTAAAGGGAATCTACCTAATTCTGCTCTACATGCGACATTGCTACTATTTCTAAAAACACCGAGAACATTTTTACAGAACTGGTTGTGTACATTTTCGATAGGTGAGGTATCATGTTGCTGTTCAGTCCCCCATATTTGACATCCATACAATAAAATCGGTTTTACACGTGTCAAAAATCTTTAGGAGGCTACGTGGTAAGACTGATGAACGGATAATAGATTTGAAACTATAAATGGCTTTGCGTGCCTTCAGTGGTAGCTGCTTTTTAGTTAGGGTGAAGCTACCTGATGATGTAAGGGTTAGGCCTAAATAGCAGTAGGAGGTAACGTTGTCTATTGTATTGTTTTCGAAGTAGAACTTTTGCTTTGGAAATGAACGACCTGCTTTGTTAAAAATAACAACTTTAGTTTTTTTTTCAAATTTACTTGGAGTT